CTGAACACACAGATATCTATGGGATTAAAGGCGTGTGCCACCACCGCCACACTCTTGCTATGGCTCTAATAGCTCTGACCCCCAGACAACTTTATTTATTAACATACAATCAAAATAATATTTCAGTACAATTAGATTACCACCACAGAGAAGGGCCTCTAAAGGTTCACCCCAGCCACATCCTCCTATGAAGAGCATGTTGGGCAGTGTGGTGTACATACGCAATTCCTGTACTTGGGAGGCAAAAACAAGAGGACCAAAACTCAAGGTCAGCCTGGGATACAAGTAAAACAGAAAAGAAGTTTAGGGCCAGGGATGTGACTCTGAGGCAGAGTGCTTGCTAAAGATGCAAGAGGCCTGACACCTAGAACCATAAATAAAAAATAAATTAAATAAGACACAGAAAATCCATCTAGCTAAGACCGTGATGAAAGTTTTGATACATTTAAGAAGAGATTAAAATGTCTAGTACAGAGTTAAAAGTTCAGTAAAAGCTGGTACATTATACAGCAAAAAGTCTTGCTAAAGTTTTTGGAGATCCTTGGGGGAAAATAAAATAATATAGAGGCTCAAGGGACTGTGTGATCAATACTAATGGTTACAATTATCTGTCAAGGCTCACCTAGGCATTACTTTGGTCTACAGTAGGTTAAGAGTCAACAAATCACTGTCCAAAAGCCTGTTCTTTTAAAGGAGCTTATGTTTTGTTTTTGTTGGTTTTTTGAGGCAGGGTTTGTCTATGTAGCCCTGGCTGTCCTGGAACTCACTCTGTAGACCAGGCTGGCCTTGAACACACAGAGATCCGCCTGTCTCTGCCTCCTGAGTGCTGGGATTAAAGGTGTGCATGACCACTGCCCAGCTTTTAATTGGAACATAGTTGTGTATTTTCTGTGGTTGTTTCTGGACTACAACCACAGCATTGGGTAGTTGGAAAGAAGTGGATGGTTACTACAGAAGCCACGTGGCCTATAGAGCCAAAAACGTTGAGTATTTATTCTTGTACTGAAAAAGTTTGTCAACCTCTGGTCTACAAAAGTTTACTTAAGACTAAGAAAATGTCTTTCTATGCATCCTCTTGACAGCTGATAATAGCCTTTACACCAGGCCTTAGTAAACAGAAACAATTACTTGAGGTAGACTGCTAATTGAACAGATCCTTGGCCCTTTATTTAGTTGCCTAGTTGTCTATCAAAATGAAAAAAAAAATTAAAAAAAAAAAAACACCAGTGTTCAGGGGTCCTATAAGATGGCTCGGTGGGTAACAATAGGATAACCTGTAGGTCAAGCTTGACCATCTGAGTTTGAGCTCCAGAAGCCACAGGGTGGAAGGAGAGAATCAGCTCCCTCAAGTGTCCTCCGACTTCCACATATACACCATGTTGGGCACACACCCATACATATATACACAAACAAATAAATAAATATAAAATAGAATTTAACCCAACATTTAAAGGACATTATGGTGGTTTGAAAAAAAAAAAAGGCTTCCAAAGGGAGTGGCACTATTAGGAGGTAGTAGCCTTGTTGGAGTAGGTGTGGCCTTGTTAGAAGTGTGTTACTGTAGAGGCGGGCTTGGAGGTCTCAGCTCCACCATCATGTCTGCCTGCACACCACATCCCACTATGATGATAATGGACTGAACCTCTGAAATTGTAAACCAACCAATTGAATGTTTTCCTTATAAGAGTTGCCGTGGTTATGGTGTCTCTTCATAGCAATAGAAACCCTAACTAAGACAGGCATCTATACTAATGAGATTAACTACCATATAATTTGCATGTTATTCTAGTCAGATACATATTCTAGTCAATAATAACACCAATACTTGTTGAGTAACCTATTTTATTATATGAAGCACTATTCATTATAATATGAGATCTTTCACTGGTAAGTAAAACAAAAAAAAATGGCAAAGGAAAGAGAATTTCAAATCCTGTAAGATATAAAAGAAATAAAAACCAAGGCCTTCATAATAATGGGCCTAAGAGACTTAAAAGCACTACTTCTCAAGCTGTGGGTCATGGCTCCTTTGGGGCCCAAACAACAGGGGTTGCATGTCAGATATTTACATCATAATTCATAAAAGTAGCAAAATTATAATTATGAAGCAGCATGAAATAATTGAATGGCTAGAGGTCACCACAACACAAGGAATGGTGTTGAAGGGTCTCAGCCCTAGGAAGGTTGAGTGCCACTGCTCTAGAGCATTAGATAGGATTCAGTGTTGTCCTCCCAAAGAAAAGACTTCTGAAACTTCTGATCTAACAGTCCACAGAACAAAACTGCAGCCCCCAACAACAACAGATGCTGTAGGAGCTGAGAAGTTGCAGGCCCACAGGAGAGGCATGCTAAGGTGAGGACAAATGAAGGGGTACTAATGTTATATGAAAAAAGATAGATTAGATACTCTATGTTTAGAAATAGGTTTCCACATGTGAAAAAAAGATATAAAAAATATATAAAGATATATATATATGAAACACAAAAAAATTCAGCCTGATACAACACAGAATTTCAGTATTCAAATTATTCAGTATACTCTACTGCTCTGAAGTATAGACCAAAAGGTACTAAGTGCTTATCCAGATTTTCTGTAGGTAGGTTATCCAATAAACAAAACAAAACAAACAAACAACAAAAAAAAAAAAATCAAAGATGTGCTAGGTGGTGGTGGAGCCTTGAATCCCAGCACTCAGGAGGCAGAGGCAAGTAGATCTCTCTGAGTTTGAGGTCAGCCTGGTCTACAGAGTGAGATCCAGGACAGTGGAAACCACACAGAGAAACCCCATCTGAAAAGTCAAAGCTGTAATTTTTGACTTCGCGTCTGTCTTTACACTGGCACCGGGGAGCTTTCCCAATAGGCTACTTACTCTCACAGGCACACATGTGTCCACATGGTTGGAAAAGAACAGCCGCTTTCTTGTCAGAGCACACCACACATTCTTCAATCTACAGCAAAAGAAAACACAACAAAACCAGCCGCAGAGTGACTACTGTAGACTACACCACAGTGGGCTTCCGGTGTGCTTGCCTTCCTGCTGCTCATTCTCACAGCTATGTGCCCTTGCTTCACACACACTACTTCCGCAGCTCCCCCAGCTGACACAAAGACTTGCATAGAAAGATTCCATTTCATCTGAAGTCAGGGACAATGAGCTAAACATTAGTTTTCTTTTTTTTCCCAAAAAAACTTGAAGGAAATTTTAACATATAAATATTAAAAACAAGTGGTTGTGAGTAGACTATTAACAACAAAACTCAACCCAGATAAATAAACTGTTAAAAGTTCAAGAGGGGTGCCTATGTTGCCTCCACCTAGGGAATTCTCCACAAAAGCCCCCTCTTGAAGAACCTGGTCAATGCCCATGCCGCTTGGAGCCCAAAGCTTTTAGGTTTTTCCTCACCCGCCTATCACAAAGTTCTGCCAGGTACTGTGACTCCCTTGACTCTGGCTCCCCGTCCTTCCAGCTCACACCAATGCCTTTGGTTCCCTCTGGTTTCCCAGCAGAGCTGCATTTAGCCATCTTCTGTTTCATCCAGAAACAGCCACTTCTCACCTGTCTGTCACAGCACCTCACCCCCAACCACTGCACTCCTGCACTTTCGTTCAGGTGTGCTCTCCGGCCCAAGCCTCAGTGCTGCACACGGAGCTGCACTCTTGGCACACTAGTTCAGTGCAGTACAATCTGGTTGGTCTCTGATATTCTTGAACTCAAAAGCTACCTCTAGTATTACCTAATATTATTTGTAAGAGTTTAAAATAATAGTCAATCATCTAACAATCATTTATCTACCCATTCTCCTATTTAAAAGAAAAGTCTTTCTAGCACAAATTTCTCCTTATGTATTATTTCCTCAGGTTTTACTCTCATGAATGGAACAACTGAATCGATGAATTTTCCTGTATAAAGCTCCGAGCAGAGGATGGCCCCCATGCCTCTAGCAGTGTTAACAAAGTGACCACTTCCCACCTAGATTGCTAGCACTTAAAACAAAAACTTTTATTTCCTAACTCAACAAAAAATTCTGTATTAATTTGAAATGTATTTATAGTTCCCTAATTACTGAAGAATCCAAATGACTCGTCTAATAATACCCTTTCCTCTAAATTTTAGAATTTCCTTTCAACGAAGCTGTTGATTCCCCTGTAACCACTCGGGGTCACTGTTTCCTTATGGTCAAAGGCTCTACTAGTAACCTAGCAAATATACTGAGTTGGTTAGACATCTGTTTTTTAAATTTTCCACAAATTTGAAAACTATATAGTATGTAATACAAAGAATTCAATGTCTCTAAGTTCTACCTGGCTTTGAAAGAAAAACAGTAACTATTTTTTAAGTATTATACTTTAGATATAAAGAAGGAAATATAAGTTAAAAAAATTTGAGAGTTAAAAATCATGGATGGCCGGGCGTCGGTGGCGCACGCCTTTAATCCCAGCACTCGGGAGGCAGAGCCAGGCGGATCTCTGTGAGTTCGAGGCCAGCCTGGGCTACCAA